TGGATTTAAATCGTGTTCTAACCTTCCATTTTTGTGCACAAGCCGCTTTTAATGCGATTTAAATTTTAAGACTAGTTTCAGAATTAGGAAAAAAAGAAGACTCTGAAATACACATATTTACATAAACTCTTCAGACATTTTGTGTAGTTTTCAGTTTAAGACCATTGTACAATGGCGAACTTTTTATACACCCTGTATAAAGTGTATAAAGCGTTAAGTACAGTTTTATGCAAATCACCCGATAGCTCAAGTAACGGACAGATGGTTAAAAATTACTATTGGCCTACGTAGCAAAAATATAATATCTGTTTTTGCCACCAGTATACTACAAAATTCATAAATATATAATTGAAAAATACATAAAGTACACGACATAACCATGCCTAGAGTTCGCTGGCTAAAGCGGTATATAATTCTTTTTCACTGCTGTTTGCACTCGGGAGGATTTTCCTGAAAAAAAGCCAAAAACAATTTTTTCAGAATTGCAACCACGATTTCAACTCCACTGGATCTCTGTATTCTACATCACAAAACATGCGAGTAAACACGAATGGTTGTACTATCCAAAAGGTTATCAGAAAAATATAGTTAAAAACCCCCTCACAAAATTAACCATTTCTATATAAAGGGCACCTTCGGACATGCAGTTCTATGACTAACACAAGCAACTATCGGACGGTCGGTTAAACGTTGTGTAACACAATATTAAATCTTTCTTTTCTGTTTGAAATGTTGGCTCATAGCCCCACATAAAAGAAACTGGCCAATAAGGTCGTTTTCCATTCGGTCAGTTGCCAGCACGTTCGAGCGAACATTTTTGCACATGTGCTGTGGCTGTCCAGCCTGACAGTTTTCACTTTGCTTTAGGCCTCGTGTATTGTTGGGTTGAATATTTTGCGGTTGGGCAGATGATGCCACGTTTGGGTGTAGTTTAAACTATTATAACTATAATTAGCTTACAGTATAATGTTTATTTTCCAAACCGGTTTGACATACTTTTACAAATGACCAATCACATGCGAGATTTAAGTTCTGAACCTAATCAAGTGTGGAAGTGGGATTTGCAACCGATGTGACCAAAGGCTCTTCTTTCTCGCCTCTCGTTTCTTTCGCCTCGCAAAGAGCCTCTGGAAGCAGGGTAATGCACGACTAGGCTGTTGCGGTACATCGATATACCGATAATTATTAAGGTTAGAGCAAGAACTAAAACGACAAACGTGTTTGTTTTTTACGTTGGCGTTGCAAGGTGCATAATATGTCATTTCGTTTGTCAAAAAGTGAACTTTTAGACAATAATCAACGGTGGATTACAAAATGTTTTGTTAAAACAAAAACTAACCTCATTGCCATTGCACATTGTTTATCTGGTGAGATAGGACAATCTTTGTTTCAAATTCGCAGTCGAATAACATGTTTTGAAACAAATTTCCCGGTCAAAAATATCACACATGGTTTATCAAGTGCGGTAATCAATGCTATGCATTTTCAATTTCTAAAGCGGACATTTCACAGGCTACTGATCACTGGCCTCACACTTCATTGAAAATATCACGCACCCGATGAGTCAAAGCTGTTATATCGTGGCTGTTTGGCATCATTTGAAAACAGAAAATTTTGCATTAAATTAAGCAAATTTTGCATAAAATTAAGCAAAATACAATCGCAAAAAAATACCGATATATCGGTATTATCGGTATTTTTTTCCGGTATCGGTTTTCGTTTTTTTTTTCAAATACCGCGACAGCCTATGCACGACCTGATTTGCAGAGATTTTGACAGACTTTAAAATCTCATCTCATTACAAATATTCTAGTTTCAAAATTGGCTGACTGAATTAAACAAGATACTCTACGCATACCTAGTTCTCACATCAGTGGTTTGGAGACTCAATAGAATTACAATTCATTATCTATTGTAGTCATTTGTGTACTGTACGTTTGCCCAACCAACCAATAGCAATGTTTTAGGAAAGTTATCTATCCGTGACTTGAACAATTGGGTAATTAAAAAATTACTATTGCTGGATTTAGCAAAAATACAAAGCGCACATGAGTACATGTTTGCATAAACTTTGACTAGATAACGAGTTATATTGTTATTATCAATTGTAATCTCTTCTATTAACTGTGATTTAATGAAAAAGGTCTATACAGGTAACATAACTACTGGAGTTGAACTCACATGCACTACTGACCTCAGATGGTTTAAAATCTGGATCTTCATCTTCACCATCTTCTCCTAGTTGTTCCTCATCATCTTCATCATCCTCCTAATTGGTCAGAATAATCACATAATCAGATAAAAAAGAGTTCATTCACCTAATTTATTCACCTATATTGTACAAAATTTAATTTCTTGGTTGCTTTTGTTTCAATCTATTGCACGCATAGCAGCATTCTCACAACACTTGCAACTGTAGGCAAGCAAGCTATCCCAAAACTTGAGTTGGGTAGTATATATCTGAATGTTTTCTGAAAACATGAGGAAAGGGTTATATATAGTAATCTGTACCCCGTAGAGTGAAATTAAAATAGAAATTTATCTAAATACCAACCTCTTCCTCCTCTTCCTCGTCAAACTAAAACAAAAGAAAGGAAATGTCAGTGGATGGAAAACACAAAATAAATGTTCTTGGTCTAATGGGTGGTAGAGTAAACGTACTGTATATGTTATTCAATCTAGTCATCCTTAACCACCAAATCAAATATGCAAACAAGCCGTTGCACCACAAACAAGCCGTTGGCCATCTCGAGATTTATTATTGCATTGGCCGAAGGCAGTCGTGAGAAAGCAGTCGTGAAAAAGTTTGTAGACATTCGAAATCTAAATGTTTGTCATTACCAAGATCGCAAAATGTTTCCCAATCAAACATTGTAAGCAAATGTAGGGGCAGCCAGAAGTTCACAACAGTCATGTGACCACATTCGGTTCGAGTCTACTAGTGTTACCGAAAATACACCAGAAAACTCCGAACACTAAATGGAGCAGCCTGCTCGTGTCTACTTATGAGTTTCAACCGAGTCCACAAACAATATGGGAGGTTCTGCTGGAAATGGCGCTTGCTGATCGAGAAAATTAGAGCTCTTTAGAGGTAATATTTTTGACTATGTTTCAAGGTGCAAATAGTCTTTTTCGCAGCCGGTCTTTGTGTTGAGGTTTCTCCCCACGAGCGGCTGCTCACTCAAGCACATTCCTTTCCTGAAAACAACCAATCACAGAAATGCTTCTAAATTTCGGAAAAATGACCTTGGACTTATTAAGATATTTATGTCGCTAAATTTATTTAGATATTTATGTCGCTAAATCTTATTGGCTAACGTAAGACAAAGGGAACGGAATGTTGTGTTCGACTGAGCAGCCGCTGGTGGGGAGAAATCTGGACACAAAGAGCGGCTGCGAGGGAGACTCAGGTGTAAATGACGAGTCGATAACATTCTTCAATTGACACAAAATACGCAATTGATCTCTCAATTGCTTTTTTGGCTATTAATAGACCACAATATAATACCACCAATAATATTTAAGCACACGAAGGTGTAAGATATGGGATAAATTATATTACTTTACATTACTTTGCAGTTCTGAAACATGCTCGTGGGTGTTTACAGCAATTTTTAGCACTCTGGATTTGCTGTTTACATTAATCAAAATGTTACTTAAGCCGAAACGGTACAGTATGTATGTCAAAATTTCAATAGAGAGAACATGTTGAGTGTACAATGCGGCGCATGTATGTAAAAGCAAAGCAATTGGTTCTTCATAGTTTCTTCATCAAATCCACAAGTCTTATCTACTATGTACTTAAGTACTAATCAATTGCTTAAGTTCTGCATGCATGCACACTTCGATCTGCCAAAACATTGCAATTGCATGTTTAGCAAAAATCCAATACGTATGCGCCCGTTATGAGGACGAACCAAACACAAGGATAAACATATACATAAGCTTGTATTGTATCAAATATCCTTTCTTAACCCAACAGGAACAACCGAAACCACATAGTGCATGAAAACTAACGTGCTATACAATCTCAACTGAAAATGCTTCCAGTGTTTATGTTAATAACAATATTCCCAAAGTTATAGAATTACTAAATATCTACATGTATGATACCAAATGTATGTCAAAAAATATTTTCATATAATACCTCGTCATCCATAGCTTCACCAGTGAAAAATAAAACTGCCTAAAATTACAAATACCAAATAGAAGATTAGGATTAATCATGCGATTCATGAATACGGATCATGAATACGGATTAATGCATACAATGTCTTGTTATTCGGAGTATTGAAAAGCAGAAAGAAAAATAGTTTCCATTCAATTGTAATTATTTCGTTACCTTGGGGATCAGTCTTTCTCTGAAGAAATGACCGATTTCAAAGTCTGCTTCAAGTAGCTGCTCAGTCTCTTCATCCTAAACAAAAGTACTGCATAAGTAATTAGAATAACTTTCATTTGTGGATCAAAAACGCTAATACGTACCATATCACCGTCTTCTGGAACTGCAATACAAACAAATTGAAATAAATAAGTAACATTTATCAACATATTTTCGTGGTGGCTTGGAAATGCTGGATGGGGGAGGGGGAAATATTTAGGGGAGGTGCAGCAGTCCAGATTCCATGGAAAATTAGGGCTTAGAATGTACGCTCTAAAGTCACTACATGCCGTATGCTTGTACTTCACTTCACCTATGTATCAGTGTATTCATGAGTTATGTATGACTGTACTTGTCCTTCATTACATTACTACAAAGTGTCTTTCCAAAAAATTCCGTTCACATATTCGCATTAACTTGATACAGACATAAATGACGTCTGTCCAGTTAACAGAAGGTTACGTAGATTGATTGCCGATAGGGCATCCGAAATACGTGAGAGGAGAAAATACCCAGGACCCGGGATGTTCAAAGGAGCAAAATTGAGTAAGCATGCATGATGATCGCACTTTACTGTACCTTCAGGAGGAGCAAAAAAATTGAAGAAAGAGTCATTCTTGACGGTCTTATTTACATACTTTGCTTGACCTTTTCCTATGAAATCGGATAAAACAATTTTAAAAGCAATATCGCGCAAAAGTAATATTTAAATATATGAAATCCTAAAGAAAACAATCTTTGCCAGAAACGATGGGACAAAAAGTGAAATGCCTTTGCTTTATTTTCAGTCAAATATTGTGTCTTTTAAAAACTGACCGCAAACAAAACACATGCAGCATTCAATTTCTTCTATTTTTACTCGGAAAACAAAGGAAAATATATAAATGTAGTCGACCGTGCATGTAAAAATTCAATTTCCGACATGTTTGACAAGAAGGTGTCGCGGTTTATAAAAAAAAAAGCAGGAGAGACCTGAATCTTGGGAGTCTCACTGGATAGAACTTACTAACTGTCGAAAGGTTTTAGCAAAACATTTCGAGTGTAAGTTTTATACATTCTTAGACCTAACCATGCAGGAGAAGCTGCCAAAAATGCAACTATAGTATATAGGCCCTTTAGCTTGGTTGCCATTAAATCGCAAGAAACGAACCAATTCCAATCGCAGAAATCATAACCAGCCTTTTTCTAGAATTCTAACACAACAATTTCAACATTTACGATATTTACAATTTATTGGAACCACGAGGGTTTACGCAGGAATAGGCCCTGCGATTCCGGTACAGTGTGTTTACCAACCCGAGCTACACTGTCCCCTTGTTGAGCTATAATTACGTTTACGTAATTATATTAAGGAGATGCCAGGACAAATATCAGGATTTTTGGCATCTCGCTCGATAGAAAGGTTTTTGTAGATGGAAATGTTTATATATATACTAATATATACATGAAAAATTTCCCAATTCTGATTCGCTAAGAGCAGTGCAATTTCTTCGAAATACACTGCCAAAAAATGAGATACAGTGCATGCAAAACAAAAGAAATACAGTGCAAATTTCATGGACTATTTAGGCTTTGTGATTGGCTATAAAATATGAAACAATAACAAAAATAGCCAATACGGTACAGCAATTTCCAGCAGAATACAAAAAAACAAACATTTAGGAGTTTTTGGGAGTGACAACAATGCATGGCTGGCGGGGTTTTTTTGTAAAAATTGGATGGGGTTAATTTTTTCATGTATATTATTAATAAGTAGTAGTATGCTTTCTCGTGCGGATTGAAAAAATGTGCATGTTTTCCTCCAAATTGCACTCGAAACCATACTGTTACCTGTACATATATATATAAATATATATATATACTTTTCATTCCAATTAAAAATTATGCCATGCAAGGAAATTTTTCAACATTGCACGGATTAATATAGTTCTAACACAAGACACATACAAGTCTTATACCTTTATGTTTTTGTTTCTTCTTAATCACTTTTACAGTGACATTTTTGCCTTTCTTCCAGTCTATCATACATCTGAAAGACAAAACATATTATTATATAACCAGTTTATTAATTAACTGGTTATAGCATGATTTCATTTTAGATGCCTTCCTGTATTTTATAGAAAATATTGAAAATGCGTAAATTAGATCGACGACTTTATTTGAAGAGATGTTGTTTGCTACAAATAAAAAATTGTACACCATATACAGCTATTTCAATTAAGGTTGTCCACGAGCAAAGCGGAAAAGTCGAATACGAGCGCGAAAGGCTGCTGGGAATCGCTAAAAAAATAATGAATATATTAGCGATTCCCAGGATTCTTTCGCGCTCGTATTCGACTTTTCCGCTTTGCTCGGGGACAACCTTAATTGAAACAGCTGTATATACAGCAATTAACAATCAAACAGTTGGATATTGATGACAAAATTGACGTCATTACTGTCGCTATGGCAACAATGACAATTCAAGGTGGCCGATATTTGGCTTTACTTAAACAAAACGCCTGGTTACCCCCATTTTTTTATTTCAGAAAAGATTTTCTTGTAGTACAATGAACTACCTAACCAATAAACTACCTGAAAAATTTTGAAGTTGGCGAAACCAATATTGCGACTTGTCTTTGTTCTGGAAATTAGGTCTATCATAAAAATGTTTTAGCTTTAGAAAGAAAATGCTCTACATTTAACAGTTATTCTACGAACTCGAGTCGAATATGAGCTGATAGCTCATAAGGCGCGTAGTGCCGAACTGTTTTATTATATACACAAGGTCTGAATTTACAGACTTTGCTTTTCGGATATTTTCAATATTTTTCTATTTTGTTTATGTTGTTATCTTCGCTCTTTCGGCCGGTTATTTTTCAAACATATATCTTTTTAACCATTTTAAAATTTTAAAATTCATTTGCTAACCTGTAAACAATTTGTGGGAGTTTTTTCATTGTGTTTTACATCCTGTAAAGGCTATAAAAAGGGAACAACTTGCCGTTTTCT